ACCAGCTCCTCTATCAGGAGCTGGCGACGTCGGCGACCCAATCCGCGTTTCGTCGAGGCGGTCCCGAACGTGCAGCGCGAAAAACGCGGTTTGAAGCCGGACGCTTTCATTTTTTCCCGCAGTAAAAAATTGCGATACCGTCCGGTTTCTTAGAACATGCTGATAAGTTACGCCGTTTACCGGTCCATCAAAAAAAAATCGGGACGAAACGTGTCGTTCTGGTCAAATTTGCTCCCTATTTTTTCGTTCTCTTTCACTCGCATTCTCTCCTGGAAAAAGGCGTGAACAATGTTCGAAAGGCCACATCAGGTCGAGATCGATCCTTCCGTAGGACACCATCGAACAGAATTCGTCCTTATTCCCAGTCGAAATACCCACATTTTAGACAAGCAATCCCTTGAATGAGAACCGACCGATCGGAGCTCTCTCGCTATCGCGTCCGTCGATATGAGAGAGAGGAGAGAGAGAAGAGAGAGAGAAGAGAGAGAGAGAGGAGAGAGAGAGGAGAGAGAGAAGAGAGAGAGAGGAAAGAGAGAGAAGAGAGAGAGAGGAGGCATTGGACTGATTCTGCTGTGACGGCTATGCTGTTGCAGCAAATCAATCAGTTTAAATTTTGGTTTTGAATTGAGTTGCGCCAGTTAAAAATGTATTATGAACGAAATATCGCAGATATTCTGGGCGAAAAAAAAAACAGTACACAACACTGTAACTTACATTGAGTGGCAAGTCGAGATGCCAAATTCCTTTCGTCAAATTAACAGGCGGTACATGCAAGGTGAAATTAATGGAATTTTACTTCTCTGGAGGAGTTTTAATTACTTTAAATAAAATTGGTAAACCTAAAGGATTCACATGGTCAGCTTGTACGTCTGACCGTACACCATTTTCTGTGGGCCGCCCTCGATTCGGCACGGCATGGATTTCGCCAACCATTGGCTTCTGCGATTCTATAAGCGTTTGTCCGAACATTTGCAACGGTTGGGTCGAAATCGGCATTATATTTAGCACGAATATGGACTTGAAGGCAGTCTTCCTATTCACAGGTGAGTGAGGTCTTACGAAGGAAGTTCGATGAGTTTTGGCAACATCTTTCGTATTCCGGAAGATCTGTAAACTTCATACTGCACATCGCCACAGGATACTATTCCCGAACAACCACACGAAATTGCATATTCACGAGCCACGTACAACGATCACGATCACGATCGCGATCCTCTGGATGAAGAACGCTAGCCTAACCTCCCGCGACATCCTCCTATGGACCGTGGCCAAAGACTGCTGCACAAACTGGATTTTGTTCCCATTCGCTGGAAAGGGGAGAACCTCCTTAAACGATGCGATGAGGGCAAGGAAGGGAAGGAGCAGAACGGACCGTGGAGAAGGCACTCCCTTTCCCGACTTCGGCGTGGAGAGAACGACTTCGTTCGGGGATTTGTTCGTGCGAAGGACAGCTTCGTTTTCTTGTCCTATCGTGGCATCCATTTCGTGTTGGAAGTTTCCAAAGATTTCCGTTTGCGAGACCTTCATGCAGCATCTTCTTGGGAATGAGCCCTGAGCACTTGTGCGGGAGGAATCGAAGCTACTAGAATCGCGTTCCTTCCTCGTTCAGCATCAGCGAGGTTCGGTTTCGCCGATTGGTTCAAGTAGAAAGCCTAATCGCGAGCAAAATTAAGTATTCAAGTTGAATCATAAACCCTTGCATGAGCAATCCAATTATTTCTTCGACGTACATGCTCGACGTCGTTGGATCGACGAGAATGTCTCTCTGCTGTTGAGAGATGGAGATCCAACTTTTGATAAACCCTGTCAGCATGCAAAAGCAAGATTTTCTTGCGCTTGTCACAGACAGCTCTGACTAGACCACGTCAGGGAAAGGGAATTTCTTCCTGCTTCTCCTCCCCTTCCACCCCCTGTCTGGCCAGAAATTCCTCGAGGGGGAACCCTCACCCTCACCCTCACCCTCACCCTTTCCTCACGAAACTTTATAACTATATCTTACCTATAGTGTTGCAGTTTTTTAAAAATTATATTTGAATGGAAATCCTCCTCCTCTACGTGCAAACCCCAGGAACAGTAGGTTGCATGCATGAAATTGCAATCCCTGTCTTTGGATCCAGATTCGATTCACAATACATGTCAGCAGTTCTCCACTTTGATGACAGGTAGCATTGCTGCTACTTGAAGATGCGGTCAACATTGGCACCAGTCCTTCGTGGCAGTCTGTGACTGCTCGCTTGTACTCTGAGGGATACGATTCCAAATCCAAGTGTTTTGCATCTCCTTCCTCTTCGTCTCTTGGGTTCCATCTCGACTTAACCATTGCTGTTATCTTCTGTGCCAGTTGCCAAAAATACTGACACTACTATCCCAATAAAATCAACATTTATAGTCAAAGATGTAGATGGAAATCAATTGGCCAGGAAAAAAATTAATAAAGGTCATCAACAAATTTGCATCATGTATGATGATATAGGCTCAAATAAACACGATGACCATAGACAGGGTTACGTCACAGTATGAATCACAAGGTGGGACGGATTAATATCACCTTTCAGATTCAAATACCTACTTAACCATATCAGANAGGAAAATGCACGAGATTGACTCCAAATCGGTTTGAATTACTGGAGTTTTGCTTCGTGCAATCTGGAATAACCGAAGCGTTTCGATGGCCCCGGGCTGGGGGATGTTCGCGTTCCACACTATAGGGTGGCTCCTCCAAATTCTTTTTCTGGTATGCGAAATCCATGAGAAAATGAAAGTATGTAGCCCGCGGCTGAAGGGTGGGTGCAAGTGAAAACTTGCTTTCTCGACCGCGACGGGGAGGAAAGCCCAAGGTCACCGGGTTTCGTTTTCACTTGGCTTTAATCGCGGAGGCGGATGGGGGCTTCGTTTCTTCTTTCTCTCACCTTTTCTTCCTCGAGATTCGGATGCGTGGGGGTTGACGTTTCGGTTCTGCGCGTCGATGGAGTCAGGCTCCAGGAATTGCACCGTCGGATGGTCTGGCTTCACGGCTGCTCCGACCCTTCGAGGAAGGTGGCCGCACTTCTAGATGGCCACCTTCGTAGCCGAATGGGACGCGTTGCACCGTTGGCTTCCGAGACCCGGCCTCCCTCGCTCGGCTGCCACGCGCGGCGGGAGAGGGAACCTTCACGCGACTGCAGCGAGTGAGCGACTGAGGTCGGAGAAGGTGGCGGTTGAGAGTGAGCGAGGTGAGAGGTGAGTGAGACGTTGTGTGTATCTCATTTGCTTCCCACTCCCCGCCTCTAATTCCCAGGGCTTCATGGAGAGGATGGGATGAGTGGTGACGTCGCCGGTTTATTCGACGCCGGGTCCGTGGGGCGCCGTTGGTATGCGGCAGGTCATGTACGCATCAAGCGTTCTTTAGTTCATTTTCGTATGAAGACATTGGAGACTAGAGCCGGAAGGAATAAAACTATACATTAGGGATTAATTAATCAACTAAAACTATCAATTAAAGGAGTTCCCTGGGGTCATGGGTTGGGAAAGAGAAACTAACAGAATATGACACGAAGTCGATGCACAATGCTGTCTTGGTCTTGCGAATTGCCAGAAAGTGCGTTAACCCTAAATTAATTATGTCGATGATGATTAGTCTCACCCATTCCTTTTCTTTTTCAGTCACATACTGCCGGGTTCAGTGACTGTGGCACCAAGGATGCATTAAAAAAAAATTATATCGTATAGTTCACCTCAAAATTATCACTGATTTACACTGGTGCTGCCTCCCTATTACATTTTGTGGATGAACTATCTCATGTTGAAATGCTGCGTATCATTCCAAGGTGTTAGTACGAAGTAATCGCTCTCATTTCATCTTCTCTAAGTTCCTTTTCTTTTAACCAGGCTTTATCCTTATGGCTTATTCCGACGTGCGAATTAAGCGAATTATAATTCTCGTCACACATCCCGAACCCGAGTTCAGGCATCTTTCATGGTGCATGTTTCAGCAAGTGTCTGCATGTTTGTCAGAGGGATTGCTGTGGAGAAATGATAATCGCTTTCATTACTTCTCTTTTCTTCATGTTGAAGGTCTCGTTAGGATGGGAGAGTGAATAAAGTTCTATACATCATGTTCATTCCTTTTCAAAACTCATGGGATCAACTGCTGAAACTTTGGCCTTAACCGCACGAGTTGGATTTCCCCCCAAGCATTGGGTACATTTGGTCATACCTCATATTTCTATCCTTTTTCACTCCGACACTGACGTGATATGCTCATCGAAATTGCACGAGAAATGGCATTATGGGTACACTTTCGCAAGTAGCATACATGTCAAGATAAGGGGATATCACATCTGACCATTTGGTGTCCGAGTATTTTAAATGTTCAGCACTGTCAATCCGAGTTTTTTTCCTTTCCTCACGAAACTTTATAACTATATCTTACCTATAGTGTTGCAGTTTTTTAAAAATTATATTTGAATGGAAATCCTCCTCCTCTACGTGCAAACCCCAGGAACAGTAGGTTGCATGCATGAAATTGCAATCCCTGTCTTTGGATCCAGATTCGATTCACAATACATGTCAGCAGTTCTCCACTTTGATGACAGGTAGCATTGCTGCTACTTGAAGATGCGGTCAACATTGGCACCAGTCCTTCGTGGCAGTCTGTGACTGCTCGCTTGTACTCTGAGGGATACGATTCCAAATCCAAGTGTTTTGCATCTCCTTCCTCTTCGTCTCTTGGGTTCCATCTCGACTTAACCATTGCTGTTATCTTCTGTGCCAGTTGCCAAAAATACTGACACTACTATCCCAATAAAATCAACATTTATAGTCAAAGATGTAGATGGAAATCAATTGGCCAGGAAAAAAATTAATAAAGGTCATCAACAAATTTGCATCATGTATGATGATATAGGCTCAAATAAACACGATGACCATAGACAGGGTTACGTCACAGTATGAATCACAAGGTGGGACGGATTAATATCACCTTTCAGATTCAAATACCTACTTAACCATATCAGAACGGATCAATTCGTTGTTGGACTGGCAAGAGCAGAATCCTTGCTATTTTGTGACCTCTGTTCAAACATGGCCTCAAAAAGCATCCAAAGGCTGCTCTCTGGTTTGACATAATCATTATCCACAAGGTTGACAAGGAAGTAATTGTCACTGATATAACGGATGATGTCTCGAGAGTAGGAGCCCTCCGGGTACAGCTTCCCCCACTGTTCGTTCCACAGTTCAAATGCTTCATCCTAGAATCAAGATAAAGGGTTTTCATAGTTCTCTTGGTCTTGGTTCGGTATAGACATGTGTTAGTATTCTGGCAATTATTCTGGAACTGGTATATCTGACAATTCAGTATCTAGCCAAGAGCCTTGAAAAAACTACAAGAACATTATACTCTCTCTTAAGAGGAATGGAAATTACTGCAAGTTGTATCTTAAATGCATTATTCCTAGAGCCCAATAGAAGAGACAAGTTATAATGATTGAAACAAAAAGATAGGCAACTCTTTAGGCAACAAAAAGATGAGATATGTTAAATTCTTACATCCAGCTGGATAACAGAACTGGTTGACATAGCCCCTATCTGCAAACTGGTTCAGAACAATATTTAGTCATATGTGGAGTCAAGGAACTTGCAACTGCTGAAACAAAGAGTTCCAAGAAATGTGATTCCATGAATGTTTGAAAAGGCCTGAAGTCATTTATGTTATTTCTATATTAATACTTCTTTGTGCTATGCCTTCAGTATCCAATGAGGGTATGTATGATGGTATCTGGCTGGTATAGAAAATCTGTCTTATTATGGTGCAACTCTAAATTCTTAAGGCTTGAAAAAAAAAGAAATTGAGGTTTTTAACTAGAGAGGGGAGAACAAGGAAAACTGACTCCATACCTTCCATGTCTTGAAGCTGACAGGATCAACAACAGTGGGTTGGATGATTTCAGATCCAGGGAATACTCCCCATGTGACAGCAATGGGCCGGTGCTTGTGACAGTTGGCCAAGTTCACCTTCCCCTAGAGAAGACAAAAAAATATATCCTTGAGCTGATTTTAAATGATCTTATTTGCAGGATGTAAGAAGCCCCAGCCCCAATATGTATTTCATCCATGGACAACCTATAACCAAACCAACAAGTGGGTTGAAAACAGATGGGAAAGGAGCTATATTTGTATTGAAATGAATGCCAGGCCTCAGATTCTACCTAATCTTTCTTCTTCCATGGAGAAGGAAAATTGTCACTCATAGTCCCCTCACCAATTTTTTTGTTTTAGCTGAAACAATACACTTAATCTTGATCCATATACTTCAATAATGCCTGTTCTTAAAATTCCATGGTCTGGTGCAAGGAGAATGTGAAAATAGCAATATTGTCTACTGATTGAGGATCACATGTAATGTTTTCTCCATCAACCAATGACTCTACTGAAGTTGCTGAAGCCACTTTTAACCCTTTTAGTGCCCTGCAGCTGATTTCCTGACCATGTGTACTCTGGCTAAAAATGCCAAAGGCCAATTTTTTTGGCCTTGGCTTTTCAGGAGGTTTCTTCCATCATTTAGTTAGGGTTCCTATTGTTAGATGACATAAAAATAGGCCTACAGCATTTTTGGAAGTGACAGATGAGGCCAAAAATTGGTTGCATGGCACTGAAAGGGTTAAGCATGATTTTATTCCAGCACACAATTATAGGCAGTGCAGGACCAAACTGAAGAGGTTTTCAGTGATGTCCAACTCTGGGTGGAGCAGGGTGAATGAGTGACCAAGAAATGCTGCAGGAACAATTAATAGCTGCTTGAAGCCATATTTGGAATGATATTCCCATTGATTGCTTGCAATATACAGACACTGTGAAATCCCTTTTGGAGGATATAGTGGGGCTCCACCTGTTATAGGCAACACTGTCCTTCATGTTGTCATGATGAGATTGCCATAAATTACAGAATTGACTAGTATACATTATTTTACAATCAAACTAGTAAGGTTAAATTGTCATTGACACATCTGGGGATCAATCAGCTTTAATATACTACTTCACAGGCATAAGCCCTTTTTTTTGGCCAGTTAAGTACAAAATCAAAGCATGAAGCATGTATGCTGCAAGGTTGAAGAAAGTTTGGTTGGTAGTGTGCTTGGGAAAGAAGACTTTCTTGGGAAAGAAGACTTTCAAGTACAAAAGCATTCCCATTTATATATGCAGTGTGTTAAAGAACCCCAGGGGTGAAGGCCAGACCAAGGTAGCATATCTCCAGATATCACCAAGATAGCTAGGTACCAGTTCTTTTCCTGTAAATTTTGCCTGATTGTTTCCTTTTATTGTTTTATTATATTAAGTAAGCTTTTCTTTCATATGGTTAAACTTCATCTGAAATAGTACTTTCCCAGCTCGATTACTTAAACCTTTTGCTTGTATGGACATTCCAAAAAATATTGGAAGCTATGACTAAGTCAAGGAAGGTAGAGGCAGTTCCAATCCTGGACTTCAAGTCCAGTATTGGAGCTGAGCAAATATGAATTCCATGTATGCATACATTCTTTTATAAAGAGAGAATGATTGGTGAAGGAGGATTTTTGGTATTGTAGCTGGTCCATAAAATTATCCAAAACAATGAGAAATGGTGCAATGATATATGAAATAGACATAGTTCAAGGACTGGTTAAGAGTTTTGTTCGAAAATATTGAATGATAAAGCCACAAGAAACATTAGTGTGACTGTACATGCAAAGGAGTGCTAAGTGGCTTAACCCTTTCATGGGTAGTGGGAAGTATTCTTCCCAGAAAACTTCAACCCTCCCTTTGCTCTCAGAAGGCTGTACAAGAGGAAAAATTTGCCCACAAAAGAGCTAAATGAACTGTCACTTCTCAATGTGCAAGGTTTTTCACGTGTCCTCCATTATCTGACAAGATCCAGTCCCCTCCTCACCCCAAAACCCCAGAGAGCATGGATATCTCATTTCGATTCTCACTTATTTTTTCTGACCAGGATGATGATGGTAAAGTCAATTCAGCACAACTGCTGGTATGAGAAGTGTTTCATTGTGAATAGATAGACAGTGACTCAAGACAACTTGAGAACATACTGATTTGTTGATAATGTGATAGTTGATCTTGGGGAATTTAGGAAGGACTTGAATGAGGGCCTCGACATTCTCTCTGCAAGTGAAGAACTCCAGATAAGCCTTTTGGTAGACGTAGCCTTGGGGCATGCCCCAACCAACCACAGGATCTTCGCTTGGGGCACCATTCACATTTGGCTGCATGAATGTTTGATTTCAGAGGTTAATGAGAAATCAGTTGCATAACAGCAACAAATAAAAATTGAGAATTAAGCTGACCTGGGAGTTGATGGTAAGGATTCCCCTTTTGTTGAGGTCTACAAGTCTGTCCTTGAGGAGTATGGTTTCAGGTGACAGCTCATCATCATTCCATGGAATGCTTGTCACCTGTGATAATAAATCGTGACAATTTAAAAATGTAATATTTGCATCACAAAATAATATGATGACTCACAGTTATTCCTTTTCGATTTGACTCTCCTGAGATGTACTGATAAAAGACATTCCACACGTCCTGCTCGCATGTAAGTTCAGATCCCCACATTGCCAGCTGATCCTCTTTGGAGTTCTTGCTCTAAAAAACATCCAGATTGAGCCCACAAGAGGTCCATACATATTCTAGGATTATATAATATATGCAACTAAAAACAGTTCTAATGAAGGCTGATTAAAACTGCAGCCAAGGCCTCATTAGAGAAGTTCTTTCATCAAATCCTTCATAATGTACATGCTCTGTGGAAAGTGACATTTTCCAAGCATCCTTATTATTAAGATCTAAACAAATATGGGAGGAACCTTGAGATAGAAGAGATAGTAGTCCTTGAGTTCTCCAAAGGCAGGAGACTGGGAATTGCCCCATCGACCATTGGGAAATTCATCCCAGTTTTGGGTGCGGTAGATGTATGACTTGGGTCGCGCTGACCAGAAGATGGGTCGCACTTCCTCCGTGCTCCGTCGATGATTGAATGCCAGCTTCCACGGAAGAGACCGGGAAGGACCGCTGCGCCAAAGACCCACCTTCTTCAAGATCTTCACCACTGCCACCTCTCTAAAACATGCATAGTAATCACTCATTCACTTACTCATTCTTACATACAATTCTGAGCCTCAATGAGGTGCTGAGTCTCAATGACCAAGTTCAATATATGACCGATTGAGGGTGTAGAAATGAATGCCGGGAGCCATGTCACTTTCAAAGAGTCTCTGAATCATAGACACAGCCAGGTCCACCCCATAGTTCCGAATGGCTTCATCATTGTCTTTCAGAGGTTGAATCACTTCCATCATATCTTTGGGGACCTCCAGACGAGACAGGTTCACGATGTGACGCAGGGAGTCGTAGCTCTGGATAGCAGAAGCAAAATCAATCATTCTTTATTCTTTCCTCTAAAAATCAAAAATGCCATGAATGAGGGGAGAAGTCAACCTGTATGGGCATGACACCAGGTATGATTGGGACCTGGATCCCAATGGCTCGACAGTCTTGGACAAATTTGATGAAGTGCTCTGGATTGAAGAACAGCTGGGTGATGATGAAATGGGCTCCAGCATCAACCTTTCAAGGGGGCAAAGTCATGCAAAAGGAAAGAAAAAAGGAAAATTACACAACTCTGTCATGGTGACCCATATTCTAAGGTCTGGATTTATGAAAATGCTGGATCATGTAGGGAAAAATATCAAAAGGAATCTATAAATCTGGTTTGCAAAAGTTGCACCAGCGATGGATGATGGTGGTGACTCCATTGCACAGATTTTAGTCTCCTCTCTCTTAAATTTAAATGCATGTTGGCATAGAGAATCACAAGTAACAATTTTAAAACTAGATCCAAAAATGCTAAAACAGAAAGGAACTTTTGTCTACCTTTTTCTTGAGGAATAAAAGGTCTTCTTCATAAGAGGAAGCATCAGGGTGCCCACAGGGATACCCAGCCACACCGATCACAAACTTATTTGGGTGAACCTGGCAGATATGCTCCACTAAGTCACATGCGTGAGAAAACCCATCAGTGGTAGCATTCACGTTCTCCCTGCTCTCTGGATCTGGTGGAGGAAAATTATTTTAAAAAATCAGAATGAAAGTCATGTGCAGTTCCAAGCTGTTGACAGTTGCTCTTGCAAAAATTTGGAATTGAGGATGAAAGCTGGAATACAAGGCCTGACCTCCTCTCAGTGCAAGGATGTTGCGAATGCCCAGACCGTGAGCCCTCTCCAGATAAGAGGAGATCTGGGTTCGCGTGTGCTTGACACACGTGAGATGGAGCACGGTCTCGAGGCCAGAATAATTAAGAGCAGCACTGGCGATGCTCATCGATGATGTCTCGCTGTCTCCAGCTGGATTCCCAGCTGGATGCCAGGTCACATCGATGAACAATGGACCGCCTGCACCCAATCGCTCAAACCTGGATATGAAATGTGTTCTAAAATGCCCCAAGTTCTACTGAGAAAGTCAACACTAAAATAAAAATATTAAATTATGGAACGTTTCATCGCATGAATCAAACCATAACGCTACAGTAAAACAAAAAACAGAGAATCACATAAAACCTGTCCTTTACAAAAAACAAAGAGAATAATTTTTATTCATGCTGAAGAGATGCAGTATTGAAACGGATTTAATCTTGAAAAAAGAAAATTAAATTATAAATTTTAAGAAAAGGAAAACAAAACTATATATAATAATCACATCTTGTTCGTCGCATGGGAAGAACGCAGAGGGAAATTTTCATTTTCTACTTCTTTCAGGAACAAGTCAAATATTTTGTCCTGAAATATACAGTAGCCCTCCTTGAGCTGGGACTGACGTCAACGTGAGAAACCCAAGGGAAGGCATGGAAGGATTCTTGTGCTGGGTCATGGCATGCGTTCTGCCTAGAGCGCCAGAAACTTTAATCCATCCCTAGATCGCATTGCAGTTGGAGGCAAAGGAAAAATTAAGCCCGTCTCGGGCATTTGCAGATGCAAAATTAGGCCATGGGCTTGTTTCACAGGTACAGAATGGACCATCTCGTTTGCGGTGGAGTCAATAGCCAGAACTACATAGGAGGTCCTACGATCCGCAGCTTCAGCGTTTTTTTGCATCGCTCGCTCCATGCCTACGACGTAGAACAAACACGAAATTCTCGACGATGTTATAAACAAAATGCGCTGCAACGAGTGTCACCGAGGACGAGGATCTGGATGCGACTGAACTCAACTACCACGCACGTGGCGGCAGATGGCTCTCGTGGCCTTGTCCCTCGAATCTCCTCATTCTTCGTCCGGGTTTATCAAGAACGCCAACACCTACATTCCTCGCTTTCGGTGTTATACTTGGGACCCCGAGAGAAAACGCCTGGCAGCAATTGCCGGCAATTCGGGGTATGGTTGTCTGAGAGAGGGGGAAAGTATACTTCGTGGGCCAAAAAGCATCGACGTCGATGAAAATTTTGTGGAAACAAGTCTTTCATTCCCTAGGCTCGTCCTAATGTTATTGCTATCATACAGAATCGACTTTAGCTCAGATGAATATTCACAGAAAATGAATTTTCATGGAATAAAGCCAAGATGGATGTTCACTTATTCGCGCGTTCAACAGTGAATCAGCAATGCCGAGATGACGATGCCAAAATCAGTTACGCCAACTCGGCTTGTTCTACCAAGCAAGGTTAAATGAAATTTAAAAGTCATGAAATGGTCCTGCAGCCTGTACTCCTGCCGTTTCTCCACCTCGCGTCATCTTTGAAGTTTGAAGATACTTTTCTTCAGTAGATCGTACGAAAGTAGATCGTACGATCTACTTTCAAATTGTATTGCAGAACCGGTTTAAATTAGAGCTTTTGTATTGAATTTTTAAAATATCGTGCGATGCTTTCTTGCCAATTATATTTACGAAATTATTCATTATTATACATATTTTCCTTTTCCGAAGAAGGCTACACGTGTCCCGTACATAGCGAATAACCTCAACAGAATAATTGTAACATTTTCGGGTGATCAATAATTATCTTGACCTGGCTCGTTTCGTCTAGTAAGCAGCTGAATATACTTGTCTGGCGCCACGTATCGCACGCATTCTCAGGTTTTGATTAATCGGAGCCCCGCGTGCCGATTTCCTTCCAGTCGAGAGTTATGAGAAGGCCAGGGCACTCCTAGAAATTCATGAGTTCGTTTAAGGTCTGCGTAGGTGGTTTCCCATATTGCACGGCAACGCTGCTGCGACCGGGGGAGCCAACGTTCTTTCGACCCTTGTTTCTAACTCAAAACTGTGAGCCTGGAAAGTGAATTCCGGAAAAGAGACTCCTAAAAGGAAATAGCCGAACTACCCGGCGCAGTGTCTCTCCATCATGAAAACGTGAGCGGGGTCTACATTCCCTCACGAGAGACATCTTACATAAGATGGTCGAAGGTCTCCAGGGAACGATTATCGAGTCCTTGTCCTTGCCTCATGCCGTCAATCCAGTTTCTCCATGGGCCGGGTCAGAAAATCTCCGTACGCCCAAGCCAGTGAGTGTCGTTATTTAAAAGCCAGATTTTGCGATCTCTACTTCCTCTGCTAAATATTGATACAACCCACCTAGCCGAATGCCTATCATACGTTACGAACAAGGTTCATTCCGTCGGCAAAAATACAAATTTCAAGGTCTACGTCGGATCTCATGGCTCATTCTTGCTCACTTAAATATCCGTAGTTAAGTGGACATTCGGCATTCCAATGCACCTCGTGAATCCGAACCAGCCGTTCACCTGCCATGGAACAGGCAGCGCTCAGAAACGCAAAAACGGAGTTACATTACGAGCACGGCTGAAGGCGGAGATCAGCCGTGAGCCACGAGGCGACGGAATTCGAACAGGTTTCCCCCCTTGCCTTCTGGAAGCTTCCACGACCGGCAACCGGTTTCGGCCGGTTTGCCGCCGTTCACAGCCATCATGCCCACATGACAGCTTCCTTTCTTATCTCCTGTCGCATGGCATCAAGAACGGAGACTTCTTCCCATGCTCGTTCAACCCACCCCTATTTATTTTTTTCCTACTGAGAAATCCATTCGAGAAGATTTCTTTGCATTTTTTTTTACTGTGGTTTCATAGCGTCATGTTTTGCATTGTGATGCCAGAATTCACTTTCTTGAGGAACATTTTCCTAATATGCATTCCTCTGCTCCTCCGTTTCCCTTGGTTGTAACCTCATAACGACCATTAGGAATGACAAAGCATGCGAGAGGTACGCATTATGGTACCTGGCAAGAAGATTCACGGCTCCAGCCTTGGTCCTCGGCGGGAAGAACTCCAGAGAGAAGAACTTATGCCCAGACTCAATCCTGGACTGGATCTTGTCCGCAAGGCTGAGGAACTCCTCGGCGACGAGCGGGGCCCTCTCGTACTCCACCTCCCCCTCCCCCTGGTATTCCCGCTCCAGAGACGACGAGGACTCCTCGCTGCTCACGGACAAGGACGACAGATTCCGCCGCATGTCCGACTCGGACGTCTCGCGGCTGACCCCCAGATCGGTACTCGATGAGGGAGACTCGTCGGATTTCTGGTCCTGTTCCTTGAGTTCCCACACCTGGATCGGCATCTCTGGAAGTCCTGAGAGAATCGAAGGGCTCGGTGCTTGGTGATGCAAAGCCACTACGCCTACCCTCTACGCTTAATAATATCTAGTCTGAGGTGTCCTTGGGCCAACCCTATCAAAATAACCATATTTGCAATGAAGGAAATTTGTTCAGTAGCATGATCATCGTGAAAGAGGACAAAAGGATTTTGATTAAAAAAAAAAGGTTTTGTGCTACCTTGCACCAAGTCCTTCAAGTGGGACACCATCATGACCAGTGAAAGGGTTTGGTTGAGTTCTGTATTAGTCTGTGGACCAGGAAGCAGTCTTCCCACTTGTAGACCAGATTTTATGAACAAAAATAATTTCGCTGAATGAAAGGAATCCTACTTTATCAGCATTGTTTCATAGAAAGCAATAGGAAGCCTATCATCATTATTATTACAGCTTTTTAAAAATTAGGTATGCTTAATGCACAGTTGCAGTAATGGGGGCTTGGTTAATAGATTAAATAATCTATTAACAAAGCTCCATCACTTAAAAACAGATTTAACAAGCATACAATATAAATTTTTAAAAGGCTAATGGACCATACAGACCAGCTCTGTGAGACTAACTGATGTCTGCCCACATGCAGAGATGAACATTTGCAAATAAGGAATAAATTCAAGTGATATGAGATGATGTGGTTATGAAATTGGAATGATAGAGTAAATAAAGAATGTATTCCACTTTTTTCCAGTTAGATAACATGTGAGGATATTACACACACAAGATCTGGCTGGTGGAGCATTACTTAAAAAGTTACAGAAAAGGCTGCAACATAATTTTTCATGTGCTTATCACTTATATAATATTTTTTGTGCAAATGAACTTGCAGACAATCACAACCAACTTTCATTTTTCTGGACCACCTTGTAGTTTAGACCAGGTTTTAACAAACTTCTTCTTCATGCTGAGTCTATTGCTTTATTAAAGGTTTACCATAAACTATACTAAACCTAGACAAGAGCCCTTGTAGCTTAACTGCAGCAATGTCATGTTTCTGAAGTCACTGGTAAACCACACTTTGAAGAGCAGAATGAAAACTGAAGATGCCTGTATATGTATATCTGCAAGACAGAAAAGAGTTGAAAAGAATGCAGGACAAAAAAAAAACAAACAGCAATTATACTTATTAAAAATCCTTTCCAAAAGGATATATATGCTATTCTTGTTCTTGCATTCAAGATTCAAATCTAATCTGGAAGATGTAATCTTCCTTTATAAAAGCTGAATTATGAGATATTGCTACAAGCCTAAGTACCAGGCTTCAGAAGGTGAAGCTGGAAAATTTTATCATCCAGGAAACCAATTTAAATAAAAGGCTGATATGTAATTAGGAAAAGTACTGAGGATTCCATACATCAATCTCTGGAAATCTGTTATGCTTGCATTGCAGGAAAAGGCATTATGGGATGGCAGGCCAATGTGACCCAGATCCCTACATCACTCTGTCATGAATAAAAAAAATTGGATCCTTGATAGCAATGCATTTTACTTATGGGTTTTTGAAGTTTACTTTCTTTTAATTCTTGATATAATTTAGTCAGAGTAAAACAAAACCGATTATATTAGTATTTGTTTCAGGCAGATATTTCACATCCAGTCTTACTCCCTATTGAAATTGTCAGATTGAATCACAAAATCACTTACATTAGGCTTATCACACTTCCCTCTTAGCTAACCATTCTGAACATATTTTGCTCATAAATCCAAGTTCTCTAGTTGGTTGGTTTTAGAATTCCATGTAGTAATAGCAAACAGACTCAAGGCATGACTTATCCATAGATTTACCCTATTAACAAATTATTTCCTAATGAGGCTCTTGCTTTTAAATTGATGAAGAATTGTAGCCAATACTTAAGTTATGTATATTCTTCATAAACTCTAATTTTAATCTTAAAGTTTCTTAAAACTGTGAAATTTAATTGATTAACTTCTATACATAGTTGTCACTTATTATAATCAGAGATGTAGTAATAAGTTGACTTTTATTATCAATATTTGCTACTCCAGTCCACTGAAGACTTCTTCCATGTCATTTTCATTGGTTGCAAGGGCCTCCTTGATGCAAGAATTAAAGTGAATGTGAAAAATGTTTCCCCAACATTAAAATTTCTTTGCCATTTTCAATGATAATGGGGAACACTTTAATAAAAAAGGAAGGATTCAATAAAATTCAGTGCAACAATAAACAGGCAGTGACAGGCAACTGCAAAGCTTGGAATCCTTTAATCCTAACTTCACAAACTTGCTGTCTGATGTAATCATCAACCGTTTATAGTGATCATTTAGGACATGTTCCAAAGTGATTACAATAAGCAATGATGGTTATCCATGGGATTCAGATATACAGGGTGGACCAAAAAACAAAGCTATCGTTTTTGGTCAGTTGTAATCTGATTGTAGGTTGGTGATTCTGATGAAATTTGGTAGACACATAAGTTGACTCAATTAGGGTTTGTGTGCCAAGTTCAAATAAGAACTCCAAAAAACTGAGATTGGCATTTAATTTACTTTTCACCACCAAGAAAGTAAGTGTTCTTTCAGCTTAAAATTTTTCACAACTGACAAAAACAAACAAGCAAACAAAGTGAACAAAAACGAAATACAAAAATGCCAAAAACGAAAGCACACAATTTGGTTTAGGGACATTCATTTCAACTGAAAAGGGGCTCAATGTGCCCTCCATTCTGTTGCACACAAGCCTCTAGTCTGGGATACCACAGATCAATGGCTCGGTCAATGAACCTTTGAGGCAGTGCCTCCTAATCTTCCTTTGGAGCATAATGCAGGGATGGAAGGCCATGAATTCAGTCCTCCCTTTCATCCTGGCCTCACCCTCCTCACCCTCACTCTCACCCTCCTCACCCTCACCCTCACCCCTTTTTAAAGGCGGTGCCTGCCTGATATGATATCATCCTGCAACTACGTATAAATTTTTTTTTTATTGTCACACTATTTATTATCATACAAATAGAAATTCTCCGAGCAAGTCCGTTTCCGTCTACCCTTTCAGAAATGAATAAATTTGGTGGCCTCGATTCTCGATGCGAACGAGAACAGAAACGGTAGACCGAGCCGGCAATCCTCAATCGCAAGCGCCCGACCCCGTTCCGCAAAACCAGGAGCATTTCTGCAGCGTCGAGATAGGACTTACCGGCGGAGATCGAGAAACCGGAGAGGATCCTCTCGTCCGATCCCAAGGTTGGAGGACTTGAGTCTGACGATTTTTTCTTCGACGCGGGCACGTCGAAATCGCTGGGGATTGCAGCATCTCAGGGTTTTCTCAGGGTTTCTCAGGGTTTCTCACCGGGGAACGGCCGTTCGCCCACGATCACGCGCTCTAGGATGGTACTGCCATAAAACCTGGGGAGAAATTTCACTTCAATCGGATCACCTCGCAATGAGGAATACTAACGACGAGAATGCTCCGGAATCCTTGTTGAAAGGGGCCATAGGGACGACTGGGATCCGAGGGTGTCCAAGGATTCCTCTTCGTTTTGGCATCGGATGGGTCGTGTTGTGACGTCGGTCCGTGGCGGATCACTTGCACCGGGCTGAGATCGGAGGAGGAAATGGTGAATGGACTGTTCGGCGATCGAAAGGTGATATTCGGGGGGGAAATGAAAGAAAAATGCAACGGTCAGACAGGCCGACACGGTCAGACAGGCCGACCGAGCAAATCCGTCTGGCCTTTCCACCTCGAGACTTTTTGTTCTTCCTCGACGATGGGAAATACCCAGATCGAACCGACGGAAACGGCCAAATCGGCAGAGCGTCCGCGTGCCTGCTCGGAAAGCTGGGCTCGATCCCAGTTGGCCCCACCCAGGCCATTGGGCGGGGCCAACCGACACGTTACTTTCTTTATATATACGTTGTGCGTTGATTTCTTGATTGACCCTCAACTTCCAAAAAACCATTCCGCAGCGAGACTTCCCGATCGAGCAATACTGGCCAAGGGCAAAACGAAGTTTAATGCGATTTGGACCTTTACGGATCGTCTAATCGCTGCGTCACCCCACATCCTGGTTCAAAACATCCGGTTCAGATGGTAATTAATCCAGCCTCGACGAAAGAAGCAACCCCGTTCAAGGTCGACCGGCTAGAACGTGTCCGACATGAAAGTGGCAATTCGACGCACTGGCCCTTCGGCGGGGAATTTTCTCGAAAGATTTTTACTCTGCTGGCCGCTCCGAGTTTTAAATGATTCACAACTATTCCCCATGGAGCTGGGGTTTCCGAGTGTCAAATAAATTCAATATTTGTTCAATTCGGGAGCGAGAAAAGTATCAATATGGTGCAACATTGATTTAAATAAATTCATATTTATCCACAGAACGCAAAGAAAGCCATTTCTTGACTCTTCGTTACAAAAATTTATCAATTAATTATATTTTGATAATTTATCAATTATGTTTTGATAATTTATCAATTAATTATGTTGTGATAATTTATCGATTATGTTTTGATAAATTATCAAAACATAATTGATAAATTATCAATTATGTTTTGATAAATTATCAATTAATTATATTTTTCGTCGTGGTAACATTTTTTATAAATGGTTATTTGCACAAAATACAGAATCTACATTAATGAAGCTGAAAAACCAGGAACTGATTGGATGTGTTATCCAATCAGTCGCAGGAAAATGCACGAGATTGACTCCAAATCGGTTTGAATTACTGGAGTTTTGCTTCGTGCAATCTGGAATAACCGAAGCGTTTCGATGGCCCCGGGCTGGGGGATGTTCGCGTTCCACACTATAGGGTGGCTCCTCCAAATTCTTTTTCTGGTATGCGAAATCCATGAGAAAATGAAAGTATGTAGCCCGCGGCTGAAGGGTGGGTGCAAGTGAAAACTTGCTTTCTCGACCGCGACGGGGAGGAAAGCCCAAGGTCACCGGGTTTCGTTTTCACTTGGCTTTAATCGCGGAGGCGGATGGGGGCTTCGTTTCTTCTTTCTCTCACCTTTTCTTCCTCGAGATTCGGATGCGTGGGGGTTGACGTTTCGGTTCTGCGCGTCGATGGAGTCAGGCTCCAGGAATTGCACCGTCGGATGGTCTGGCTTCACGGCTGCTCCGACCCTTCGAGGAAGGTGGCCGCACTTCTAGATGGCCACCTTCGTAGCCGAATGGGACGCGTTGCACCGTTGGCTTCCGAGACCCGGCCTCCCTCGCTCGGCTGCCACGCGCGGCGGGAGAGGGAACCTTCACGCGACTGCAGCGAGTGAGCGACTGAGGTCGGAGAAGGTGGCGGTTGAGAGTGAGCGAGGTGAGAGGTGAGTGAGACGTTGTGTGTATCTCATTTGCTTCCCACTCCCCGCCTCTAATTCCCAGGGCTTCATGGAGAGGATGGGATGAGTGGTGACGTCGCCGGTTTATTCGACGCCGGGTCCGTGGGGCGCCGTTGGTATGCGGCAGGTCATGTACGCATCAAGCGTTCTTTAGTTCATTTTCGTATGAAGACATTGGAGACTAGAGCCGGAAGGAATAAAACTATACATTAGGGATTAATTAATCAACTAAAACTATCAATTAAAGGAGTTCCCTGGGGTCATGGGTTGGGAAAGAGAAACTAACAGAATATGACACGAAGTCGATGCACAATGCTGTCTTGGTCTTGCGAATTGCCAGAAAGTGCGTTAACCCTAAATTAATTATGTCGATGATGATTAGTCTCACCCATTCCTTTTCTTTTTCAGTCACATACTGCCGGGTTCAGTGACTGTGGCACCAAGGATGCATTAAAAAAAAATTATATCGTATAGTTCACCTCAAAATTATCACTGATTTACACTGGTGCTGCCTCCCTATTACATTTTGTGGATGAACTATCTCATGTTGAAATGCTGCGTATCATTCCAAGGTGTTAGTACGAAGTAATCGCTCTCATTTCATCTTCTCTAAGTTCCTTTTCTTTTAACCAGGCTTTATCCTTATGGCTTATTCCGACGTGCGAATTAAGCGAATTATAATTCTCGTCACACATCCCGAACCCGAGTTCAGGCATCTTTCATGGTGCATGTTTCAGCAAGTGTCTGCATGTTTGTCAGAGGGATTGCTGTGGAGAAATGATAATCGCTTTCATTACTTCTCTTTTCTTCATGTTGAAGGTCTCGTTAGGATGGGAGAGTGAATAAAGTTCTATACATCATGTTCATTCCTTTTCAAAACTCATGGGATCAACTGCTGAAACTTTGGCCTTAACCGCACGAGTTGGATTTCCCCCCAAGCATTGGGTACATTTGGTCATACCTCATATTTCTATCCTTTTTCACTCCGACACTGACGTGATATGCTCATCGAAATTGCACGAGAAATGGCATTATGGGTACACTTTCGCAAGTAGCATACATGTCAAGATAAGGGGATATCACATCTGACCATTTGGTGTCCGAGTATTTTAAATGTTCAGCACTGTCAATCCGAGTTTTTTTCCTTTCCTCACGAAACTTTATAACTATATCTTACCTATAGTGTTGCAGTTTTTTAAAAATTATATTTGAATGGAAATCCTCCTCCTCTACGTGCAAACCCCAGGAACAGTAGGTTGCATGCATGAAA